TACATACATACATAACCAATGTATGTATGTATGTATGCATGTATGTATGTGTGTATGTATGTATGTAAGCAAGTAAGTATGTATGTATGTATGTATGTATGTATGTATGTACGTATGTATGTATGCGTGCATGCATGTAAGTATGTTTGTAGTATGTAGTATGTATGTGATGTGATGTATATTCAGATTAGTTAGACACACACACACACACACATATGCATGTGCACATGCACAAACATGCTTTTCCGCAAGTTTCTGCAGATTGCATTATTTTGAAGTACGTATATCATATGCATAGTTGCAAGGACAAAGAATGCGTGGATGTGTGTACAAATAGACACACACACACACACACACTTATACACATAATCGTCAAGCAAGGTATTTTCTTGTATAATCATCGGAAAAGCAGAGTTCTCTCGCAAAAGAGGCAGGGGGACCAGCATAATTATAGTTTACGGGGTTTAGGCATTAGGGTTTCTGGTTTAGGGTATGCGGCCAGTATATGGGACTGCAAGGCCGAAACACTGGCATAGAGGATGTCGCGGTAGGTCGGATGAAAGTTGCGGTGGGCAGTATGGTAACCTCGGCAAGCTTGGGGCTTGAGGGCTTCGGTCGCGGGCTTCGGGATTTCAAAACCTAAACCCTAAACCCTAAACCCTAAAACCCTAAAACCCTAAAGCCCTAAAGCCCTAAACCCAGGAAAAGGATTGGGGCAGGATTGCGGCATGTCTTGGGTAACACTTGATCTGCATCCATTCCTTAACCTGCCAGAACCTGCCTTTTGGGAGGGGTCCCTATGAAATCCATACTAGGGTTCATGACAGGAAACTACAAAAAGCAGGTGTTGGTAGGTGAAGGAAACCCTACACCCACTTATGTAAGGGTGCTGAGAAGTGGGAGCAGCAAGGACACGAAGCATGTGGTGCGAGTTGGTTTTGAATCTCGAGAACATTCAGGAGTAACCTCAAACTCCAAATCCGCATACGGGCATGTGGCTGGCTTCAAGGATAGTTGCTATTGTCCTAAATGGCCCAAAAAACTCAGGATGCCCAATATCATGACAATCGTCATTCAAGAAGCGTCCGGGGGTGTATGCAAGCTTAGGGCGTGTGGTTCGATTCGTAGATGATGTGGAAGATACTGTCGTTGAGATCTCAAAAGGGTCCACTCCGACAAAGCCTAAACCATTCAGCCCGAAAGCAAGACGCAAGCCTCAAGCCAAGAAGCCACAATGTAGGGGCCTTACTAATTAGAGTAGGGTTTTGGGGTATATTATAGTATAATCATAATAAGGAACCCCAAACCTGTATAGGTAATGTTCAAGGGCCCTATATTAGAGCCAAGCCTGCGCCACCCAACTCTCCAAACTCCAGAATCTGTTTGAACCCTCCCTGAACCCTAAACCCTAAACCCTAAACCCTAGAGCCTAAACCCTAAACCCTAAACCCTAGAGCCTAAACCCTAAACCCTAAACCCTAAAACGGAAACCGCATTCGCCGAGTGTCTCTCCGGCCCCTGCGCATAATCCAAGTTGTCCTCACATGATGTTGTTCCCAGCAACCAATAGGGTTTAGGGTTCAGGACCTACTAGAGCAAAGTCTTCGCTACCAGCTCCTGGCGGAATTCATTCATAGGGACCCTTATAGGGGGGTAGGGGGGACGGGGGGTAGGGGGCCTTACTACCAGTAGTAAGGATCTAATGAGGCCTACTCGAACTCGAGGAAGTCTAGTCCCCTACCCCCCTCCCCCTACCCCCCTAAGGGTTCTCTGAGGAATGTAGGATATATGATCCAGATACAAGACGGTCCCTAAACCCTAAACCCCAAACCCCAAACCCTAAACCCTAAACCCTAAATCCCTAAACCCCAAACCCTTAACCGGAATCCCTTTGTGGGGGGCCTCAAGGGCTTTTGGATGGAGTCTTAAACGTTTAGGGTTTAGGGTTTACAGTTGCGGGCTTGGGATTTAAGGCTTTTTCGGGCTTTGGGTTGACGGGGATCTAGGTTGTAGGGAGCAAGTCACATGAGGGCATGGACAAAAACAGTCATGGGGGGTGTAGATCCGGGATTATACTTAAAACGCCGCATGACCAAACTAGAGACTTTAAACTCACGGTCCAAACCCAAAACCTTAAACCCTAAACCCTGATCCCAACAGCCCGTAAAACACCCTAAATACAAGACAGAGCCCCCTCTCTTCCACGAGGGCCGAGGTTTCTAGCGTTATCCAAAGCCCTCATGCAGGCCCTGTACAACCTCAAAAGAAGCGTAATGTAGAAGCCTTAATAATTCGAATGGGGATTTGGGGTCTATTATACTATAATTTAAAATAGAATAAGAAACCCCCAAAATAGTATAGTTAGGCATTTCTTACGGCCCCTATATTATTATTATTGTTTTATTAGGGGAACCGTTTAAGGAGCCGTAAACCCGAAAACCCACAGTTTCGAGGTTCGGGCACAACGTCCCAACACGGGCCGAGCATCTTTCGAGCCAACCGCATTGGGGTTAGAGTGGATGTAAGCGATCTGAAGATCCTGCATTCCTCGGCACCAGACTCAAGATCCAAGCCAGTGTCAGGCAGAGATCTCTTGCAGGAACCCCTTGTATAGGCAGCTCGAACACTCATGCACAGCGGAAAACCAAACCCTAAACTAACCCTAAGCCCGTAAAAACCGAAATCCCAAACCCTAAAACCTCCAAATCTCAAACCCTAAACCCAAACTAAACCCCAGACGTGAGACACCAAACCGACACCCTACGCCAGGAAGCGGAGGTCGTCAGATGGCCTGAAGCTGTCCCAGCCTTCTTTGAAGGCCAAGAAAGCCTCGGCGGGCAAGCCCTAAACCCTAAACCCTAAACCCTAAACCCTAAACCCTAAACCCTAAACCCTAAACCCTAAACCCTAAACCCTAAACCGGGGGTTTGAGGAAGTCTTTGGTTCGGGGGTGAATGAAGTTGAGGCTTTAGTTTTGGGCAGTTTAGGGTTTAGGGGTGAATGAAGTTAAGGCTTCGGTTTTGGGCGCAGTTTAGGGTTTAGGGTTGGGCTTTATTTTGGGGCAGTTTAAGGTTTAGGAAGGCCTTTATTGTTTTACAAGGATGTTGCAGGACATTTTAAGGGCCTCCATAGGAGTTTTGTAGGGTCTAGGAGCCTACGAGCAGGGTTTAGGATCTTTAGGGTTTAGGCCTGTTATGTTACCGGGTTCTCAATGCATTTTAGGGTCTTAGAGGAGGTTCATGGGTTTGTGTCGAGTACTGACGAAGTGGCATCTTTGCAGGCATGGCCAGGAGAACCTGACTTTCGCGGCCAAAAGGTTTAGGGTTCAGGATAAATTAAATCACTTACCCGTGTGGGGGGGGGGGTTTAGGGTTTAGATTCTGCGTGACCCGTCGGCGGCTTGCTTGTCTGTACACCATTATCGGTCTTACCCACTTGCAGTCTTGCTTCTCCTCTCCCCTTCTCCTCTTTCCCTCTCGCTTGCGGGCTGCGCTCTTGTTGCCTCTCCTGCTTTTTGTCTCCTCTCTCTCCCCCTCTCTCTTCTGTCTCTTCCTTCTCTTCTCTCTTCTTCGAGCGGACGTTTGCTGCTTGTTGTCAGTTTCCTGCGACACTTACGGTTGGAGGCGGTGGTCTTTCTTTTGCTCATCTTTTGCTGGAAGGAGCCCGGCGGGTGGTCTTTACAGGCCGTACTCACCCGACTCCGACGCCGAAGCCGTATGTACAGCCTTAGACCCTAAAGCGCTAAACCTGAACCCTGGCAACAAATCCGAAACCACAAACCCTAAAGATCCGAAGCCCTAAATACGTCTAAATGCTGAAGTATGGTTTACTGCCAGTCTGCGACTAAACGCCAAGATATACACGCGGTAAGGAGTAAGACTACCGGTGAATGGATTCCGACCCCTACAATGAGTCTGCTTCAACTGCCTCTAAGCTGCCTGGACCAGAACGGGGTTGGCCGCCTCGGCGGCGATGAATCCCAGGTGGTCTTTCAGAAAGTCCTGAACTTGAGGTCTGAGGTTTAGGGTTTGGCGTCTTTAAAGGGCTTAGAGTCCTAAGCGACAAAAACTTCAAGGCCCTAACACCTTAACGCAACACACCAAGAACTCCTGTGAGCCCTACAAACTATAAGGCTAGGTTGGTTTCTTATGGCCGGGATCAAATGATGTCTGTAGTCGCCATTGTAGTCCCAGCTTTTGGCTGACCAAGCTTCTGGCTGGGATGCTAGAGTACGAATACAGGACAACCCTGAGCCCTAGACCCTAAACCCTAATATAGGGGTCTTAATAACTAGGATATAAGTTTTTGGGATATATTATACGATAATTATAATACGGAACCACCAAAACCTTATGTTAAATATTAATGCCCTTGCCTTAATTACCCGAACAAAAAGGAAACTACAATGGCGACCATGGCTACGAGGTAGTGTCTAGGGTTTAGGGTTTAGGGTTTAGGGTAGTGTCCAAAAATCTTTGGGGTACGGTCAGCCCGAAAGCTCCAACTGCCTTGTTTTATTCAAAGGACTCCAAAGGTAGGATTTAGGGTTTAGGGTTTAGGTGGGGTGATCCTAAACAAGAGCATATATAAGGGTTCCTGAATCCTACCCTGTTTCATCCCACCTTCTGAGGCCTACGACTTATATGGCTGTAGCAAATGCGTTTAGGCTTGTAGCTTTGTAGAAAATGCACAAGCTTGAAGTAAAAAGAAAAGAATGCAATGAGTGTAGAGCTAAACCCTACAAGGAATATGTTTGGGTGGTTTGGCCGCCTCAGACGGTGTGGGCTGGGAAAGAAAAAGAAGAAGCTTTCCCTCCAGCAGCCAATCGCCATACTACGATGCACTCGAACTGGCCTTGTCACCCTAAACCCTAAACCCCACACCCTAAACCCTACGCCCTAAACCCTACGCCC